GCATTGAAGATGGGTCGTGGCTGGGTCTTCCAGCATGTCAATGACACCAAACACACAGCCAGGGCAACTAAGGAGTGGCTCTGTAAGAAGCATTTCAAGGTCCTGGAGTGGCCTAGCTAGTCTCCAGACCTGAACCCAATAGAAAATCTATGGGGGTCGCTGAAACGTCTTGTTGCCCAGCAACAGCCCCAAAACCTGAAAGATCTGGAGAAGACCTGTATGGAGGAGTGGGCCAAAATCCCTGCTGCAGTGTGTGCAAACCTGATCAAGAACTACAGGAAACGTCTGACCTCTTTAAATTGTAAACAAAGGTTTCGGTACCAAATATTAAGTTCTATTTTTCTATTGTATCAAATATTTTGTTATTTCTCAATAAAAACTCATAAACAGTTACACAAGCACACCCTCTTTACCAATGAACCCCAAAACACACCTTGCCAAGGTCCATACTATAATCTGTATTTGCACCAGTCCCATGTGAAAATGACATGTCTGAATCTGTAGATCTCAGGAATGTAGCAGCACCATTTAAATGTTTCATAACACAAAATAAAAGTGAGGTGCATATAAGGTTGCACTCAGACGTGCCAAATAAGAGACATGGTCTTCAACATGAGTACATGTTTATTTTATATTTTATTGTGTCAGCTTGAAACCATACAACCATGTAGTGTAGTCAAACAGGATTGTGCAAGGCAAATCAAATCCCAAATAATCCATGGACCCAATAAGTGACACCTCATTTTCTTGACCACTAGATGTCCTACTCGGGCACTGTGTCATTGAGGCCTCTGAGTAATGAACCATTTTTGTGAACACTGTGTGGAAACTTCAAGAAAGCCTCGATCAGCCATCACTATCCGCAAGTGGACATCTGCATCTGTATTATCTCCAACCCTTGAAAACAGTCTTAATGTGAACACCCATTTCAAATTAGATAATGAACTTGTAGTGGTTAAAAACAAACAAGTTACCAGTTAAAATGTAATATGTAATAGAATATAGTAAGAGTGTGTACATTACATATAGATATTATTTGTAGTAGGTAACAGCTGATAGTTACAATATGTAAGGGTGAGTTAAGCGTTTATATAAACCTGTAACATCTGTTTCTCTTCTCTGAAATGTCTGGAGATGTTTGTGCATGGGAAGCTTAAGAATTGGGTATGAGAGGTGACGTTAAGGGCCAGAAAGAACTGTGAACATTATGAGGGGCATAAAAAAACTAGTACATCAGAGAGAAAGGTGACAGACACAAAACAGACAGAACAGGGAAAGTGAGGAGCAGGGCTGAGAGGGGAGACGGGACCGACCTGACTTGACTGACGTGACTGTATGGGCAAAAATGACTAACTCTTTGACAAGCTTTTTATCTAATACTTTTGTTTATTTTTTATGCAGAGACGGTGATTCTGTTTCCTATCTTTCAAACTGCTGAACTGTGCAGAATTACTGTAATAATAAATAATCATTGGAATTGGGATGATTTACTTGAATTAATTTAGCTCACATCAGACCTTAACAACCATAAACTGACCTGATGAAATCTATATTAACTTACATACAGTAGGCTATTTGTGATTAAAACACTGGTATTAAGGGCCAACTTGTGTATCAAAAATAGAAAGCAGACTGTACCAGCCATTATCATCTTCATTCTCTGGCACTTACAGATTCATTTTCCTTACTGTATGAGACAAGCCTAATATTATTTTTATATAAAGCTAACAGTTTCTGTTTCAACAGTGTAACACTGCATCTCTGACGTGTGAAAATGACAGCTTGTTATATGACACCATACATACAGGAACACTGTACTTTCACACAGCCTATATTTCATTTCAGATTCAAAAGAATAATGTGTTTTTTTTGTCTGTCTGTATTATTACTTTTCTGGTTCATAATACCGCTTTTTTATGGCTCGATATTTCCTGAGGAAATAGAGTGCCTCTAGTTCCTTGATGACAAAGTTGCCCCGGGCCACCAGTTTTTTGATCTTTTCAGGGTCTGTCACGTCCTTATGCTTCATGAAGGCCGACTTCAGCCGCTCTCTGAAATAAGCCGATCCCTGGGGGTACTCACGGCCAAGATATAACAGCTGAAGGAGGACGTGAACACATTAAAATCATCAGATTCAAAGAACACAACAGAACCATGTGTGACACTGACTAATTCGCTTACATTTTTGTAAAGTCTGATAACCTCACCCCTTAAAGGGCTGGCCATGCCAGAAACTAGATGGCCGTCGTTCACACTTCTGAAACGAGAAGCACATTAAAAAAGAAATTGTTCGTTAGTGACGATGAGACAAAAATAATACAATGGTGAGGAATGAACACAGACAGAAGACAAAGCAACTGAATGACAGCTAGCTAGCGTCAACAGAATACTTAGCTTGACAGTTATAATTCAACACACGCTATTTACCACAAACTCTACAAACAAATATATTACACGTTATACTCATATTTACACGGGTTATTCAGTTGGATACAGTTACTGTAGTGTTAACGTAGATGCTTCGTTTCCAGTTTGCACTACAGTCGACAACGCAGAGTGAAGTTGTACACACTACCGTATGTCGTTCTTCTTCGTCCATGACCTAGGCAGTGTAAACGCAACTGGGCGTATTACTGCCCCCCGCAGGTATATAATATGAAATAGTCTGATTAAATATCCGTTCATGTCACTGAGTATAATCCTGTATTTTGCAAAAACGGAATAACTCCCCTTGCAATCAGTTGGTGGTTCTCATGTTGACCAAGCAATGTTTTACCTGAAAACTAAGAAATCTGTAAATTAGTTTTATATATTGTAATACTCTCCGTTCCTACACAAGCAGCCAGACGTTCTTGTGGTATCAATGTCCTTTTATTTGTAATAACAGGCTTCCATGCTGTTGTTTCAGCCACAGCACACGCTACCGAGCTCTTTTGTAACTCCCAACATACAACACTCAACAACAACAACTGCCTGCTCTTCCTCGCTCTCTCCTCTCACACACCTCACAGCGCCCCCCTCTCACATTCTTTCAGGCGATAACATGTAGAACCATATAACTGGATGCTAAACATTAGAACCATATAACTAGATGCTAGACATCAGAACCATTACATAGCCATTACAATATGTATATACAGGGTTATTCAAAAAGAATGAACCGATATTATTACGCAATAATTTATTAAGGAAAAGTAATACAAAACTCCAGCCAAGTCACAAGTATTCTACTCACAATCAACTTTTACTTCCTGTCTTACAAGTGTTCAGTGTGGCCACCACCTGCAGCACAGGCAACATCAATGCGATAAGAGCATTCCTCCCAGCCGCGTATTAGCATATCAAGCTCCACTGAGTTGATCGCTGTTGTTGTGGCCACATTGAACACTTGTAAGACAGGAAATAAGAGAGAGAGAGAGAGAGAGAGAGAGAGAGAGAGAGAGAGCTATTGATTTTACTCTTTTTACTCCTAGATAAGAACTCTAGTGAATGTAGTTTTTATGACGATAAATATCTGAATAAATGAATGGGATCCTTTTTAAAGGCATTTATTGATGGCTCTAGAAACCCAGAGAGTGGTAAGGCAGGATTTAGGGTCTGTGTCACGTTTAGATATAAAACTTTGACATTGCAATAATGGTATCTCTGTTTTCACTACTGAATTGTTAGCGATTCTCTGGGCTTTATAGAGTACTGGATAGAGGATGTTAAGGCCAGATAAAGTATAACCCCAAATCAGAAAAAATGGGATGGTATGTAAAATCTAAATTAAAACTGAAAATAGTGATTTGTAAATCATCTGTGTCATGTGTTACACTGAAAACAATACAGCAGCACATTATTTGATGTGATACCTCATCAATTTTATTTTTTGTTCAAAATAAACACTCACTTCCCTTCTGATGTCTGCAGATCTGCTTTGATCTAAGTGGTTCCAGTATAATAAGTCTAAAACCATTTTTGATAATCAGCAAAAGCCCCTTAGTTTATATAACTACTGCAGAAAAGGTCATTGGTGCAAGCCTGCCGTCCATGGAGGACCTGTACACCTCACGGGTCAAAAGGAGGGTAGAGAGGATCACTGCAGACCCCTCACACCCTGGATACAATCTGTTTGAACTCCTCTCCTCTGGATATCGTTACAGGTCACTGTGCGCCAAGACAACCAGGCACAGGGACAGTTTCTTCCCCAAGGCTGTCACTCTGATGAACACTTAACCAATGACAATATGACTGGACAATAACCCTCAGTACAATACCTGCAAATATACCTCATACAGATTATACAGATTCATACAGGTCTCTAGTTTTAAGTACTCTATTTTCATTCCTACTTATCCCATTTCAGAATGAGCATTCCTTGTTTGTCTGCATTGTTTACTGCCTGTTTATACTGCTTATTTTACATTGTTTGTTGCATGTTAATACTGCTTATTTTGTTATAATACACAGCCTTATGCTGGCTTACTCTTTACATGCCCCTTGCCCAGGTCTCTTTTAAGTACTCTATTTTTATTCATTTTATTCCTACTGTCTCATTTCAGTGAGCATTTCTTTGTCTACATTGTTTACTGCCTGTTTATACTGCTTATTTTGCATTGTTTGCACTGCTTATTGCTTGTTAATACTGCTTATTTGGTTATATTACACATGTTGCTGGTTTACTGTTTACTTGCCCCTTGAATGGGGATATGTACATACACATTTAGACACACCTGGCCAATAAAGCTGATTCTGATTCTGAATAATATGGAGTTTGAAGGATCGTTATCGCCGTATGTCGGATTGTTATTGTTGCAAATATGTCGCCATATATGTCGCCATGACGACACACACACGCATGCGTATGTGTTTCTGTAGTTACTCGGACGCTGAAGTTCTCAGTTTCAGAATGGTGAGTGTTTACCAGCTTGTTTTCTAATAGACTCCCCAAAATGATCACATTCAAAGGGTTTAAACTGTAGAGTTTAACGTTAATTAAAAATAGTTAGTGTTAGCTTATAATTAGAAGACAAAAAAAAAACAGTGCTAAAGACAACCTACTAACTTATAGCTACACTGCCTAGCACGTGAGTTAGCAAGAGGAACCTTTCATTTTTATGCTCTTTGTTTTCTTCATCTTGATACAAACATCTTTATATGCTATTCCTTGAATTTATGTCTTAAAGCATGTCATACTTTAACTTTTATTCTCCTGTGAATAATAGCCGCCCAAGATAAGAAAGGTCAGTACGTTTCTCTATTTAATAATTGCATTTTGCTCTTATAATCACAGTTATATACAGCCAGGCATAGAGTACAGCCTACCATTTTTACTCACCTAGCCATCACTCAGTTATTGTGTGTCCACCTTTTCCACTGCAATGCACCCACTTTTAGGTAAGTATAAACTGACCAGTGAGATGACCCTGTTAATCACTTGTATTGTTTTGCTGGTTTGAAGTCATTAAAAAAGGGAGGAAAGCTGTCTAAAGCTCAGAAGTTGAAGCAGAAGCAAGAGGAGGAGGAGAGGAGGCTGCAAGAGGAAGGTAAATAGCTGATCAGAGAGCTGTCTCTCATCTTAATTTCAGTAAAGTAATCTGTTTTGAGCTTCTGCCAGCCACTGTTGAGGAACAAAAGAGATTTCAGCAGTATTAAGATACATATTGGGGTACTGTATTGGGCAGCGCAACAGTTAGCGCTGTCGTCTGGCAGCTAGAAGGTTCTGGGTTCGAGCCTTTCTGTGTGGAGTTTGCATGTTCTTCCTGTGCCTGCATGGGTTCTCTCCGGGTACTCTGGCTTCCTCCCACAGTCCAAAGGCATGCAACTTAGGTTGATTGGAGACTCTAAATTGCCCCCAGGAGTGAGTGTGTATCTAGCCACAGGGGTTTCACAAGTCCCAAGCCCAGATAAATAGAGAGTTGTGTCAGGAAGGGCATCCAGTGTAAAAACGTGCCCAATTTGCGCTGTGGTGGGACCCGTAACAGGAATAGCCAAAAGTAGAGTAGTAGTAGATTGAGGTATTGTATGCATCTGATGTGCTTATGCCTTATAGAAGAAGCACGGCTGAATGCAGAGAAAGAAGAACAAGAAACACTGGAAAGAGAGAAAAAGGAGAAGGAAATGCTTGAAAGGCTTGAGTTAAAGGTAGGGTGCCCCAATGGAGTATAATACCATATTGATCATCTATTATTTGATTATTTTTCCATGGCAGGATATGCCCAGTCTCAAACAAACTGTGTTGATTGACCAGACCTGTAAATCCTAAATCACACAGTAGATTGTTGTCTTGAGTGTTATTATGCTGGCATAATACATGATGTCTTTTACTGACAGGCCAGAGAGTGCAGAGAGAATGAGCTGAACGAACTCCGCCATCTGTTGGAGAACAATCATGCTGCATTAACCAAGTGGAAAACTGATAGTGCTGAGAAAACCAAGGTGTGTGTTCTGTTTGTTTGAGTTATTGTGTGAGAGGGAGGTTTAAAAATAAAAAAATCTGGATGTCTGACACATTTATTGTTACCAGTAATCTTCAACAGTACAACAGTGATTATAATCACACTTAGATAAAATAACCTTATTTATCTGCAAAGCATCCCTTACAGATATCATTCAGCTGATTATAACACACAGTACTGTACAGTATGTTCCTTTTGTCCAGTGTGAGAGGTACATGCGCTGTGATGGCATTCCAGACCCTTCAGGAATATTAACCCCGCAGGATATTAACACATATATCAGCTTATGGAGAGACGACCCAGAGGTCAACATCACACCCATGCTCAAGCAATGTAGCATCGCTCTAGAGGTGTGTATTTTAAGTGTAGGTGTGTCTGTGTCTTCAGGATAAGCAGTTTACCTAATGGATGGATAGATGTGTATATCTTGCAGTTAGTTGACAACAGTTTTGATGATCACTTAATAAATTTTCTTGTTATAGCTTTCCAAAGGAAAATACTATACTGTAGCTGCTAAGTTACAGACCTAATATGGAGGTGTGAATATGTGAGGCAAAGAATTTGACATGTCAGAATCATCTTTGATGGCCAAGTATGTTCGAACATACAGGACTTTGACTCCAGTACAGAGGCTCTTAATGTGTTTTAAGGCAACAGGAAATAGAAAATAACAATGACAATAAAAAATGAAAATGAACAGTGTGTGCATTGAAATAGGAAATATGTGCAATCAAAATAGGAAAAGAATGAGAGGAAAAGAGAGACAAGCCCTATGACCCACCTCTCATCCCATGTCAGCTGTAGAACTGTATCAGCAGCTCTTGAGGCAGGTGGAACTTCCTGAGCTGGTGCAGGAAGCACATCCTCTGCTGCGCCTTCTTGGTGATGATGCTAATATTGGATGTTCACTTCAGCCCAGGAACTTGAAAGAGTCCACTGCTGATACAGTGCTGCTGAATATGCTGAGGGGGGCTTCTCCTGAAGTCCACTGTCATCTCCACTGTTTTGAGTGTGTTCAGCTCCAGGTTGTTGTGACCGCACCACAGGGCCAGCTGCTCAAACTTCCGTCTCTATGCAGACTCGTCACCATCTTGGATGAGATTAATCAGTGCTGTTGTAATGATAGATTGTCGATCTGTCTTGCTGTGAAGGAGATGATACTGCCCACAACAAGCCATAATAAGAAATTTCTTATAGACATTCCAGGTATCATTTACAGTATCCTTGTTGTAGACCTATTAAAGCTTAGGTATCAGAAATGACCTTAATGCCTAGAAATATATGATTTCCTGCATTCAAGTGTGACAAAATGTGAGAAAAAATATATTTTCTCTCTTGTAGCTGGTTGAGGAGCTGGAAGGTCTGCTCAGGGATGTTAAAGATCCTCAAGAGGGCCAGAAGTACCAGGAGGCTCTCATAAATTTACAGGAACTAATCCATTTTAAACACCAGCTCACCACAGAGGATATCCTTAAGGTACAAAATTCGTAATCATATCTGTGTTTGCACACTGTAAAGCCCTTTGTGACTATATAAAAGGGCATGAGGTGGAAACGCTTTGTACAAGCTTTTTGGAACCATTTTTATGAGGTGTGTGTATCTCTGGTCACAGGGAGCCAGTGCTAACATTGACACTGAAACAGGCAACATGCACACTGTGATCAAAGATGACAACATTACACTGTGTCTCTGGGCCAATCTCAAGAAGAATCCAAGGTCTGTGAAAGAAATGCAGTTGATCAAATAGGTTAGATGTGAGAATAAATAGAAAGAGTGAGGTCAATTGCTGTGTCTTATGATGGGTAGAGGTTAAATTATGTAGAATTTTAGTGGGTATACAGTGCTTTGCATGTGTAAAATAGTGACACAGTATAAAAATTTGGTTATGAATGTAGCGTACAGGTCAGCATCCAAGTGTCTTGCAAGGCCCTTAAAACAAGAGTGTCAGTAATTTTAATTTTTACCTTAAATGTTAAAGGCTTGTGTCAGGTGGCCTTCAAAGTGCAACTATCTCATCTTTTACTCTCTTTCTAACTGGTGTATTCAGGTTTAAAGGTTTCAAATTCAGCGAAGCTGGCATGGGCTTTGAACTTCCCAAGCAGTTGGCTGAGAGCGACATCGCTGTACGGATCCTCCACACACGATATGACCACCTGTCCTTGCTGGCCAAAATTAGTCATCCAAGAATATACACACCTAGCTGCAGGTTTGATAGCGCTTTTACTACAGCTAATACTACTGTGACTACAATTACTTTAACAGTAGCAATATTGCTGATACTACAAAACTTTTTGATCAGTTTTCATGACTTTTCTCTTTCTTTAATCTCAGGCCTCTTGAAGGCACTGATAAGATTCCAACAGACATAGATTTACCTGAGCAGGGAGAGACAAAAGTAGATGGAGAGGTGAAGGAAGACAGCGAGATGCAGCAGAAGATAGTGGAAGAGGAGGTGCAGTCCGGCCAAGGGTTAGAAGTTTGGAAGGTATCGAGAGAATGAGCTACTGGTCTGGGTTTCTAATGTCACTGAGATGTTTTCATTCTTATTGTGTATGTTCCTTACAGAGTGCAGCAAGTCTACAGTCGAGAAAAAACAGCCCCCACTCCCCAGAAGGCCGAGCGAGCCAGACGCAGATAGAGATAGAAACACTCAGAGGTAAGACACTCCCTGGTCCTCCAGACAGCTCCACCACACAGGACTGAAACCTGCAGTCACTTAAACTGATTGACAGATCTTGTGATACATAAAATGAACTCTATAAAACCACTAAATCTAAGTTACTGATGTTTAACTTCAATATTTTCTGTAAATGTCATAGTAAATCAAGTCTAGAAAGACATTTTTTTCATGGCTGAGTTTTTTCTCTTTCAGCTGAGGGTGAGATGACTTCTTCCTCAGAGCAGCTCACAGTTATGGACTGCAGTGAACAAGTCCAGATGGTGGACTTGATGCAGTACACGCCTTTGGGTGGGATCTTCTACTATGATTTGTTTCACCTCCCACCACAAGCCCACCAGGTCAATGGCTGGAAAATTAGACAGGTGAGAAGAAAAGAGATAGTTTGCTTTCACTGTTTACACCTGACCCAGCTTTTGACCCCACTTTCTTTTCCTTTTCTTTCATAACACACCCTGCATAGGTGTTGGATACAGGACTACAAGTGTTTCCCTACCGCCCAGAGAAGTCCAACATAGATGACAACGGGGCTCTCAGTTGTCCTCCTGTTGGCGTGTCTGTGATGCTGCCTGACTCTGTTGTCTTCTTGGAAACTCCTCAAGTGGCTTGCTGGGATGCTGCAGCTAGGACAAGGAATCAACACACACACACACACATCATACTCTATGAAACATAGAAAAACATAGTAGAAAATTAATTGTAGCACAACCTAAAAATTGGGCTATCAATTTTTAATATATTTGATAATCACCAAATGGTGATGTACATGATTCAGGTAAGCAGTGGCGAATAGACGGCATCAGCGATGTAACTTACAAGGAGGAAGAGGCTAAGATCTCCTTCAAGATGGCCTCCTTCCAAGCTTTTGCACTTATGCAAGAAACATATGCCAACTTTCCCTTCCAGAGCTGGGAGCTCAGGCCACTGGGCCAAGACTCTGCAGTTTTCACTGTCAATGGAGCACTCATTGATCTCAGCATCATCATCCAGGTAGGAGATAAGAAAGCACATAAACATTTCCCCTGACTTAACAATATACTGTATCAGATGATGTATCCTGAGGGTTAATAATTTGAATTTGTGTGAATTTTAATGACAGGGTAACCAGTGCATGTTGCAGTTAGAGCAAGAAAAAGGTCTTTCTCACCTCAAAGGGAAGTGGATGAACAGCCCTGCCCTACAGAGAGCCATGCTCAATGCTGGGCTCAACATCTTTGTGAATGAGTACACAGACAAATATGTCTGCAGCTACTGCAAGGTCTGCATCTTCAACCTGTTGGCTTTCAAAATAGAAGAACAGGAACAATGTTCCTGTTAGGTTTGAGCCAGGTTTGGTTTTGGATAAACCAGTGTCACACGGCATTTTGTCTGGCACATATCCCAATAGCAGTATAAAATTGAAGTGGGAATGACGTCATCCATTTCCTTCCAAGCGTCATGTTAAAGAGTACATAGTTTAAACTGGCAGCAGACTCACCATAGCACCATTCCATTGCCATTTCCCCTTCCAACTCCTATTACACAATGTTTTGAGCACTTAATTGTATGGTTGGGTGCAAAGAAACTGAACATTTACAGTCATACTTGCAGCTCTGTGAGAACATACACAGGAACAGTACTGCTGTTAGCATGGCTTAAAATAAGAATTTAACAAATCTGATTAATGAACAGGTATTCCTCAGCCAATAACATGCCTCAATCACTGTATTAAGTCCACATTTAAAACATAAACATACAGTAAAAACATACCTCACTGTAGCTTAAACCACTCAGCAGTTTCAGTTAGCCCCAATGCTACCCAGATTAGCCACATTAAAACACTACTTCTACCAACCTGCACACCATTAGATCTGTAACACTTGAGTTGAAAAAGGTCGCTAGTTGCAGTCTTACACACTAAATTAAAACACGACTCAATATTCCTCTTTTGATTTCTCTTTATTGCTAATATTTGTCTAGATGACAGTAGATCAGAGTTTAAGATTTTCCACAGCATTATAAAATATACTGTGTGGTTTCTCTGCTCTTCAGGACCCACTGGCAGAACACGCCGCCTACAAACAGATGGCCCTTTTTGCCTCTGCCTGTGCTTTCTCATGGAGCAAGTGGAATGCCAAATGTGGAGCTGAGCATCTGGTCCTGCAGGTATTCTTACTCACAGATAATTTATCATTTTACCGAATTTTCCTCCCCCATATAGAACATGGAGTCACTAGCCACACAAATGTTCATTCCACGTACTTTGGCACTAGCACTGTGACCAACAAGTAGGTGTCTTCAGGGTAGTAACCAGTCCTGCTCTAAATCCAGATCTTTACTGTGCCACCTGGGTGGCCTTGACTTAAAGCAGATTTGACATTTACACACCCACAGGTAAGGCAGGCAGAGAGATTAGATTTATATGAGGAAGAGGGAAGTTGCACAGTGCCACACAGCCAAAGTTCTGTCCAGCAGGGAGCACCTGGTTCTTTCTAGAAGATGGCGAGGTTACTGGTCATGGTTGAGTGGAAAGATGATGCCAATACCAGATTCAGAACACCAAATTTACTTCAGATTTATGTCCTTTCTCCTGAGTGTAATTGTTATTCCTTTTCCTTCTCTGCAAGGTATGTGAACATCACAGCCCTGCCCCTGTGCCCAAGGGCTCATGGAGTCTCTATCTGCTGGGCACTCAGTGTAGTAAGAAGTTGGAAATTACTGAGAAGAATGAAGCTTTCTCTCCAGATCATTATCCTGGCAGCAAGTTTCACTCCACCTTAATCCACATGCTCCAGGATAACATGAGCACTGATGGCATATCTAGGACCAAAAAATCCAATTGTCTGTTCATCAATACAGTACAGAGTCTGCTCTGTGCCACGAGGCCCCTGATGTATTCATAAACTAGTGACTTTAAAAATATGAATCTGTAATGTACATTTGGATGCACATAATAACATACATCTTCTAATGTAGAACTAGTTACTTTATTTTGTGCAAAGTTTCATGCATCTTTGGAACATACAAATGTGTTTGAAGTTGGTGAATCACAGCAATAACTTAAAATGGAAAATAAACCCTTTGGTGTTAAAAACAACTGTAGAATTATAACTGAAACATTCACATTTCCCCACTTGTCTAATAAACTCAAATATAAATTAAAAAAAACACTGAAAGTTTTATTACCAGTCTTTACACATTTAAGTTATAAAATGTCCTCTGAAACCAGTGAAATATGGAAAATTCTAATAAAAAGGCTGGCAGTTCCCTGTACCCTAATATTTAAAAAGCCCTGAGGCACAATGTGAGACATCATCCATGATGTTTGTCAAAGGTAAAGTATATTGCAGCCCACTGTATAACTTGGGGATCAGTGCTATCATTCTGATTAAGCTGTGACAAGACTGACCAGTGTTGTGCCAGCTCTGATACCTGACCTAACATTGTTTTGGGTTCATGTAGACATGTCATGTATTATAACAAGTTAAGGATGCGGAACAGCCCACCAAAAACAACACTAGCTGCCATTGCCTGCAAAAGTTTCTTCTCCTAAAACACAGACACACGCACACATACAGACTAACTTGTTTAGCAAACATGAAATGATGCATAAAATCTTCCACAGGGTTAACTAGCCCCTGAGGCCTGCCCTGTGTTGTCAAAAAAGTCTTGGTGGTATACACCTTTTTCTTCAGCACCCCAGTACACAGACAACCTGCAGAAGGCTGGGCAATAAGTACTATCCACCCTGGGTCTCAGGGGCTAAACAGGCGGCTGTCCGTGGTGCCGTAGGCCTGTGTAGGGCCACAGCAGCTGCTGTATGGTCATCCATGAATCCCCAGTTCCCACATGGGCAGCGTCTACTGCTGGCTGCATCACCAGGCTCGCCAGCAGTGCCAGGAGACCTGCAGAGGATGGCAAGGAATTGGATCCAACTATCCTTTTTGCTGACTTAGGAAAACATGCAGGAGGAGCGGCTGTGTGATTTTAGTTACCAGTACTCAAACTGAAAAAGAAATTCTTCAGAGATTTATAAAAATCTTAAAAGTGAAATGTACCTGCCAGCACCACCACCATGGCCACCCAAAGCCAGAGTCCCCTGCCGCTACCGCTGCTGTGGCAGCCGCCCGAGAGGAGGTCAGGCTGTGGGACCCAGATTGGGCCATTCCAGGGTCTATAGGAACAGGGCTGGAGGAGGGGCTCGGGCTGGAGGAGGGCAAGGACAAAAGAAAAAGGTACCACAGGCTGAACAGAAAATGAAATTAACATATTAATGGGTACAGAGCTAAAACGTTACAGATAAAGAGTGTGAATAAGTTTAAAACTGTGTCATTTGTGGTAACTTGTGCAATGGATGGCAAGCAGTGAATTGGCTGCAGCTTGTTGCAGTCTAAAGTTGGCTTCAGTGAAGCATGTTTTACCACCTAACTGTTAAAAGATGCAAAACAATTCACATTACCACTGGAATAATGAAAAAAAGAACTCAGCAGTATAGTTAATGGCATTTGCAATCAAGTTGGATGTGAGTAATGACGGTTAGGTAAAGGCAGCAGAGACACTTTTGGCCTGGACTCTCAACGGTAGGAGTGCTGCTTCAAATCAGTTTAGTCATGTGGAGTCAGTGCAAGGCTGTAAGTGGCCTTATAATGGCACTACTACCTGATAAATACAGGCCCATTTTATGCATGCATTGTTTTTGGACGCACAATCCACAAGCACTTCCCACTTTTCCCTAGACACTTACAGCACTACAAAGAGTTCTTCATGACTCCTGAGCAATGTGGAGGAAGGAAAAGAGTAAAAGACAGTTCAGAATGACACCATTTGCACAAAAAGAGTAAAAAAAGAGTAAAAGACACACCATTTGCACAAAAAGAGTAAAAGACAGTTCAGAATGACACCATTTGCACAAAATGCAGTTGCCCCATTAAAATAAGGAAAACTGTTCAAGCGTAGTAGTTTGCACATAAAATTGTTAAGGTGGCTAAATGTTAGTAAATGAAGCCCAGTAAAGATGGATTAGTGCCAGTTAGATGTGCTGCACATTGCAGCTCAGAACCTGAGATCCATGCATGAAACATAAATCACAAAGCTTCCAATATTATTTGTCACGCTGACATGCACTGATCTCAAGCCAGTTAGCAGCTGAAGGAAAAGGTTCATCTGTGGCTCTTACAGTAAAAAGTCTCTATTAACATGATTAATAGCTGCTGAGACCCTGGAGCAAAGAAGCTAGTCCAGCACAGAGCCATGTAAATAGAGCTTCATTGCTTACAAGGTTCCATATGCTCACCAAACTTTATACAACAGGAAATGATTTTTAAAAAAGCATGCAAGTATAATGTATGATTTTCTGCAACACCACAGAAATGGCCTCGTACCATCAAAAATAGAGATAAAATAAAGATATTGCAAATCTCTCATGCCAGAAACCATTCAATTTGCAGGTGTTAAAACCTTAAGCACAGTTAAATGATGAACTCCTACTACGCAGTTGGCCTTTTCTCTTTATTGGCAGAAAGTGCTGCTGAGTAGGTTAGTGGTGGGTATTTGGTTGGACTAACGTCTTGAGGGGCAGAATGAAGGAGGTGAGTTTGTTGCCCAGCTCACTTAGACTGGACCTCCTCCTCTCTGCCACTGGCTCGTCCTGCTTGTCCTCCGACTGGCAGTCAGTGCTGTCACAGGCCATCCTGTGGGCACTCATGGGTCAGGCAATCACAAACACACGGTTAAGTTGCACATTCAAAAATAAGCATGGCTACATACAACAATGATTCTGTAAGTGTATATGCACAGTTCATGTATATGCAACCAACAAAAGCAAGCAGATGCAGACATCATAAACATTTCCTCAACATTAGTGGGGGTACACAAATCAAGGTTTCTGATGAGATCGCTCATAGATCATGTTTGAATTCATTTTCTGCTATATAACAATTCATGCCTACCAATAAAAATTACATGCTCCAATATTACACCATGGAACCACAAAGCAATTTCACAACCTTTCAGATATTTGGAGAACAATAAAGTGACTGATTTGTAGCACCTGACTTTCAGTTTGGGTAAACAAGGTAAATTCCACTTTGTTCATGCAAACATCTGAAAGCATATGGTGCCATTAAAAAAAAAAAGAAGTCCATACCATCTCATACTTTACATTTTACAAAGACAGGAAAAAAATGTGCTACATTTGGAAGATGTCACAAAGGGCAGGTTTCTGATAAAAACTTCATGCGAGGATGGACCAGATGCATAAAAGATACCTGCTACAGTATGTGGTTTGATGTCATCACAGTTGTTTCTGGGCCTCAAACAATAATCAGGCTGTTCTGAATTTGTTCCAGATGTGTGAGAATCACCCTTAACTTCACATCACATCATTACTGATAACATCCACACAGCCACTTAGCATATTAAGAGATTATCAGGGCTTATTTTAATTGCCGTTGTTTTGGTATTTCTTTCAGCTAAAATTAGTTTTCTGTGCTTCATTATTCTTCATTAAATTACACTGTTACTGTCAATCATGTGACACTCATGAAGAAGAGAAGAATACACTCATTGACATTAGTGTCAAGCTCTATTTGACCATTCCAAAATAAAATTCCATATAACATCCACTGCAAAGGAGAAATTTAAGCTTTACCAAGACAAAAGTGGATAGACTATTAACCTACAAGTTTCCAGAATTCTCCACCCATTGGGTAATGATGTCAAACCACAAAGTTGCCATCTTTATGCATCTGTGTCCACTATGACAGAATTAGTGTGACACAGTCAGCATGGTATCCTTCTCAACATTTCTTACCCCTTCATCATGAGAGAGGGCTCGTCAGTGTCAACCCAGGCTGCAGAGCTAATAAAGCGTTTTAGTGGGGGGCGTGCCATGCTCTTCCCTGCCACACTCCTGAAAACCACCATTATCACATAGGTGCAGAACAAGAACAACCCTCATGTCTTAGTGTAGCAAGTGCCTCTGTGGCTTGAATAAATCCAACCACAGTTTCCCACACACCAGAAATAATGCTGGTGTGTTTTAGGCATTTTAACATTCCTTTTATTGCAACTTAACTCCTCTTCACATACAGACTAAGTCTTTAATATTATAATGTAACAGCAAATTTAACACATACAAAAACTTACCATGGGGATCGCTTGGTCAGCCTCTCTGTTTCAGCCTCTGAGCCATCATGTGTTTTGGACTGTGACAGGAAATCAAATGGTATGAGTCATGATCATGTTAAGTGTTTTTGCACAAATTAATCTATAACTGAAAATATAAAAAATATATAAACTATTTTCTCACTCAGTGCTTTATAAAACCTCTACTTGTTTGAATACCTAATACTCCAGTAAAGTTAGAAGAGCACTTAAACCTGTAACAATTTACATATTTAGGATCACTTATTATGACCCTTTTTGACAAATGTTTTTAAATAAGTATATTTTAAACATGTGACATTTATTCACCAAAAGTTGTTTATATTTGGATGGTGCACAAGTAAGAACTGGGAAAGAACGCTGCTGAGCAACCAGCAATAATGTGCTGAAAAATGGATGACAGAATATGCACAGCAATAATGTGGTTCCAGTGCCCTGCTGGTCAGCCGGCTGCAAAGCAAACTTCGGCTACATGAAGCTACATATGCACCCAGCATGGTGTTGTTGTGGCTGCTATGTGATGCAATTTTGAAGTTAAAGTGACGTTGGTGTCATTCTCACCATCTCAAAGTGCATGCTGCTTCCACCAGAGCGAGGGATTGCTGCTATGCTAACCCGCCGGACTGATGACTGCAACAACGATATCCATGGGGAGAAGAAGAAGAAGAAAAAAAAACCCCACTTCATTAACACCTATTAGTATAATTTTTGAGTGATGGAAAATGAGATCATCTGCAGCCAACCTTGCAGTACTGTGATGATAACTGCTTCTTACCACGGAAGTCATCTGGAAAGAGGAATACATTAGATACTTTGTATGTATGTGGTTTGTGTGTACAATGCATATCACATATAAACAGTTTATTAGCATTGTGGGTTAATATTTTATTTAGCTGGTTATTTAATCTATCTAGTCTAACTTTCACCAAATTTAAGGTATTGAATATCAGCACACAAAACAAAACAAAAAAAAAAAAACAGCCAATGGTAGTACGAGTTTAAAAACACATACGTTACACCTGGACAAACACTATTTGTCTCTGTCTACAACACCTCCAACCTCTTTCAGTTTGTGATCCAAACGACCTCTCATTCTGCATGAGTGTCTCTCTCAGCTCTAGCAGCTCAGCATGCTCCTTGGTGTACATCCTCTTCAGGTTCTCTACATGCTGGATCATCACCTCCACTGCTTTACCAATACGATTCTCCTGACATTCACATACACAAGACTCCAGTAAAACATCAGAATCAAAATAACCTTAATTGCAACACATTTACTGGCTCTTTTGTTGTTCTTGCCACAACCAAGAATAACAACTGGTTTCAGCTGATACTTTACCAGAGAGCAGAAACTCAAGTTAATTGTTATTGGCAAACCTGATGAATAGCTCCTAGCATCTCAGAGCGACTGGATACCCTGGTCATTGACTGGATAAGGATATCCAGGTTCTTCTGGAGCCTCTGGATGATCTCCATGGACTGGTTATCATCCTCACACAGGGGAATCAGAGCCTGGGAGGAAACGTGAGGTAGAGGGAAAATGATAAAGACAAGACAAAATGAATGAATACCTGACAAATTATTTTAGAAAGAATTTCCACTCATACTACTATCCACTCCTACTATCTTACACTTATTCAGCTACACTAATGATTTAATTCACGTGTATTTTTGTAAGGCAGTTGTCCCCTATCACAGCCACCCAACTTATGTTTGCTATCAGCAGCAGTCTAATGTGAAACTTGTTCAAACATGCAAAACTCACCACATGAAGCCAGACCAGAAGCTGAACATGCTGTGATCTTTAAAAATCACTTACAAATATTCAGTGGCTAAGTCAACACCCCTACAACTGAGAATGTAAATAAAATTACACTTGGCAAAATGAAGTTCCGTTGTCTAGTGATAGGGAAGACTAAGTGCTTAGTCTACACAAAGATGGACACTTTAAATACACAAACTGACCTGCAGTAAGCCTTGGCAGCTGGAAACCTCCCTGCGGATGTTCTCTTCAGCCAGGTCACGTGATCTCTCCTCCAGCCTGAGTCTCTTCTCCAGGGTGAACATGTCGCACTTGAAGCCCAGTGCCAGACGCTGGAACTCTGCCTGAAAACATAAAAATAATAATAATAGACTTTTGAAAATGCTGGACTGGGGCTAACTGCTGCACAAATATGGCAACATATCTGTATTCTGTCAGACCGAATGACCATTTCAAACATTTCTTGAGTGATTAAAATTCCCTGATCAAATCCAGCATTATTGTACTGATTGAAAAGTTACAACAAATAAATGATGAAGCTTCCACACCAATAGTAATTTCAGATTTCAAGAGTCTGATCAGTGGGCATTAACAAAAAGATCCATTCACTTTCGATCATTATACTTTGAAAAGTAGTGCAGTTACTAACAACACTATCTAAATTAAGTGTTATGTATATCTCTACTTTCAATTATGGATTTTAAATCTGCTTTCAAAGACACATAATACCAGATTAAACACCAAATGCTTATACATTTGTAGTTCCAAGAAATCACTGTATACATACCTCAATCTCCTTGTCACTAGGTGACAGACTGCAGATAGGAAGACAACAATTACTACTGTGACTAGCCTTGTTACATACATGGATAATTATGGATTTAAACATTAAGTTGTCTTACCTATTGCCGTCTTCTTTAAAGGTGTCACTGGTGCCAGAGACCATTGATATCTCAGCTTGAGAGAGAAATGATAAGCAGAATATGGCATGACAAATACCTGAACAAAATGCTGAAATCAATCATTTATTTTTACATATTTGTACATATACACACACTCATTATTAAGAAAACCTGTAAATGTTTAGTGTCTAATAGTGTACAATGACAATCACACATACATTCCTTATCAGCAGTCACGTTGGTCTCTCTTGGGTCCTGAACCTTATGCTCCTGGATGGCCACCATGGTGTGCGACAGCTCCTGCAGGGTCCGGATAAACTTTATCGCTTCTCTCTGTTGTTCCTCTCCCTCCTGCTCTCTTTTAACCTCTGATCCCTATATCCTCACATTCATCCCAACATCCATAAGGTTCACTTTACCTACTCTCTACTCTTTAAGTAGTTTGCAGCAGCAATGCAGTTGGTTCTTGATTCTGAATGATCTGATCCTTAGTGAAGCTACAAGGAAACTAATGCATTTTCCTTTCCCACTCCCTCTCATATAGCTGGAAAAACAACATTGCTCTTCAGGTCGCAATGTCATGAAGATACCAACAGCACAATTGCATCACTGACAAAGAAAATCTCAGTGAGACTAGCACCATCACCATGATCCTGGTGATTCATCAAATCTAACTACAAGACCTTCAATTAAAACAAATTTTAATAGAAAACTTTCATATAATATGCTTCCTTTAACATAACTTCTAATAATCAGTTGAAAATGTAGTGGGAGTGAGCATGTCTTACCAGTTCCCTCTTATTTTTGCCGAGGAGGAGGGGGTCCTTTTTGTCTCTATCCTCCAACTGGGTGGGGTCAGAGGTCACGCTGCTCGTGCCACTCCTTGATTGGCTATTGTGTGTGAAAGATGATCCTGATGGAGGCAAGCTGCTATTTGAGAAGGTGGTTGCTCTGCTGCTGTTGAGCTGGTCTGTCCCTGGAAAGATGAGTTGGTGTGTGGGTGGTCAGAGTTATACACACACACACACACACACACACACACACACACATAAAAAAGTGTAAAACTGTCAGCTTTGAAATAGCAGATTCTCGCTTTATCACAATTGTTATTCCCACCTGGCATGATGGCAGCTTCAGGTGGTGCCTCAGCTGTACTGTCCTGAACACTCTCCTCCTCTTCCACCAACACAGGTAGCAGTCTTATGCTAAAACACACATTGGACCTTTACACAATACTATAGTATTTGCAAAAAATCTAAACCTTATTGTATTGATGTAAAAAAAAAACAAAAAAAACTGCTGGCTTTTAGACTTCATGCAGAGAAAACCGTTCTGTCTGAAGGAGTTTCTGCAGCTGGATGTGAAGTGATGTGAAAACGGTACAAGTTCAAAAGGTTTCTGTGATAATAATTGACAGTTAATCACTCACCAGTCCTCTGCTGTTGATTTGTCTGTTGACTGGTTCTGGCTCAGGCTCTGAGATGGACAACAAAGATGGGGGAAGCAGATGAGAAAAAGACAGATGGCCTTGGAGCGCATTTTCAGTCACACATTTCATGAAATGGTCAATGATTAAAAGGCACATGCACAAATGCATTCATACACATGTAGCGTACCTGTCCCATGGCAGTGAAATGCTATCTAAGCTGTACAGTGTAGAAGAGAAAGAGTGGACTGATTCTTTATGTAACATGGAGCTTCATGGAGAGCTCTGCAGCTCTATGAGTGTGTGTTGCTGAGAAGAGTGCTCAGAGAACATGTTAACACTGGCACAGTGCTAAGTAGTGGAGGCGGACTGTGTGCACAGCCGTGTGAAAACACACACGCTGTGTTTTTATTTCCTTGTGGGGACTTTACATTGACATACATTCATTTCCTGTAGACTTATCCTAACCTTAACCATAACCATTACTTGCCCAATACCAAACCCTGACCCTAACACTTAACCTCATACCTAACTTCATCCTAACCCTAAACCATGTTGCCACTCTAAAATTCAGTAAGTTCCTTGTGGGGACTAGCTTCTGGTCCCCACAAGGATGGCCAAGTCCCCAAAGTGTGAGTGTGTTAACAGGTTTTGGTCCTCATGATGTAAATAATACAAAGGCGCACACACGCACACAAAACAGTGTAAGGTGAGCACTCAGATCACTAAAATAGGATATTGTGTAATGACTGTACCTAATATCAATTTTCGTGCTGCTCAAAAACAGGAAAGAAATGACTTGTGTTAGATATTTTTAGTCAGATAGATATTGGATAGATACTTTCTGTATTAGAAATGTTTAGTGGAGATAGGATGTCTAGTTAGACTGTTAAATGCTTAGGCCTGCATATGAGTTGCTGCAGGGTACATCTGGTCAAGGCCACCAGAAAGAAGAGTTGATGACTGTCACCAGACAGGGTGTTTAATATTATTATTACGATGTGTATAACTGTAGCCTTAGCCATAATGTTCCTATGTTCGAGTCACGACATGTACTAGAGGTTGTGAGAATGTTTTTAGCTACACACCACTTAACCAACAGACATACACATTCACACATTGATTTGCTTGATGTTTTGACTATTGCTAGAGCCAGCTGCAAAGATGGTGAGAGAGACGTCTCGGTTGACGTTTCTGTGTAGTATGGGGCTAGCCCAACCGAGGGGATATAATGTATAGGCCTGTTGGGGTTCGGGGTCTTTCATCTTACATCTGCCTGCGTGCAGTTTGGAGGTGCAAGATATCTGAGCGTGTAATGTTAATTTTACCTGTGATCCTTTAAATAAATCAGCACTGTTTTGAAGTTACTTGGACTGCCTTGTCTCTCAGAGTTAGCATTGTAGCAAGAACTGGTTCCTACACTTGGTATTTCACAGATCCAACATGTAAGCAGACTTCAGGGCCATCTTGCATCCAAACCAACAGTGAAGCAAAATTAAGATGGCTGCTAGTTACCTTTAAAATCATTAATCTGCAAGCATCTTTAATGGGTATCAGATTAGTATCCAACACATCATCAATCTGACTGAATATTCTTCATAAGGAGCCAGAAGTTAAAAACATCCAGTCCTCCTAAGTGTGGGGAATTTCCATGTCAAGCTTTTTTCTTTGCTGAGCTGTGACACCTGGAATTTTTCCCCCTGCACATTCATGTTCAAGGACAACATCTTAGTAATGTCATTTGTATGTCACAGATACAAAATGTTTGACTGGAACTGAAGATAATAATGTTAGGCATTACTTGTCATGTTTCATTATCATCCTTCTTTGTACAAATTATTGTGACAAATGTTCAATAAATTCATCACGGCCTGATATTTAGAACAAACCTTGATGATGGGGTTTTAATTCACCACTTCTCTCCACCAGGACAAATAAATTTATACCATCTGATTTTGAATAACTTAAAAACAAAAAATAAATTAAATGAATTTTGAGACAATGTTGTAATAACATTGACTTACTGTAAGTCTCTAATACTTACCCCAACATAAATATGGATAAAATTTACAAGTAAAATAACAATTTGAATATATCCAAATTATTATGTTAATAAGAAACAACACACGGTAACCAGATTAAAAACAGAAGTTGCTGTTGAATCATCTAAAACACTTTAATCTGGGTGAAAACCGTTTTTTGACCAGGGTTCTTAGTGCACAAACTGGATTTTGTTTACATATGGAAACCAGCATCAGAGCCCGTCTTTGACTTCATTTAGACTTTCTCTGTCGGAATCCTGCACACACTTGCAGGTAGAAGACTGAAAACAAGCCCATCCCATCTCTCAGTAGCACACAAAGACAAGAGCTTCACAACACAAGTAAGCCAACAAGTACCTCTCTTGGTTCCAACATGAACATACCACTGGCCCACATTTAAGGCTGGGTATAAGCATTATGAAACAACCTTGCTGTTTAGACCATGCATCAAACCAGTTTACTGTGTGTCCAAGCCTTTGGAACATCACTGTCATCATTTAGATAAATTCTTCAGATTTTATATCAACAGGCTCTCTCTTATCATGTTAGTGTTTTTCCCCCGGGTGCAGGGTCTGGTTAATCCATTACTTGTGACACACTAGATAACCGACTGGTCAGCCTGACATTGGCAGTGCACTCATACACTGGCGATGTCACCAGGAGCAACCCGGGGTTCAGTGTCTTGCTCAAGGACACTACACCATGCAAACTGGAGGAGGGAGGAAACTAAATATGAATTAAAGTAAATGACTCATCTCAAAATTGGAATGTGTATTTTTCAAACTAAAATTCAATTAATTATTTTCAGAAAGTAAACCACTTGATAAAAACAACTATATGTAATATTTTTATCCTTCAGGAAGCTGTTTGTTGAACTGTAAGATATCTTGAACTTGAAGTAAGGTTATATTATTTGACAGAGAAAGCAATTTAACACCAACACTTTATTGTAGTTTGCAATATTAAATACATTGTACTTGCCTCCTTTGGATGTTCTGGAGCAGTCTGTAGGATGATGGCCACCAGACTCCCTGATCTTTCCCTTAAATTTTACATCCCTGCTCTCTCCTCTTCTCCTTGTCCAGGGTGTGGACTCCCTCTGAAGCTTTCTGAAGGAAAGCTAGCCCATGCCATCCCCACTGAGCCGCCCACCCTCCCCACTTCAAAACACACCTACTCTCACTCAGCTAAAATATATATATAAACTGGGACTGACAAGCAGAAAGATGAGGTCAAGAAAGAGGAAGTAGACATGGTAAGCAGCTGGTGCTGAAGAGAATAGAGGAAGCTATATTCCTTTTTGCATTAAAACACTTCCCCTCTGTACCAACCTTAGCACGGCTCATATCTGCTGGGCTCGTTTCCACCTGGACTTCTTTCTGTTCTGCTCCCCTGTAGTCCTCGCTGGTCAGCAGGGTGCTGACCACAGGTGAAAGGTCAGAGGTAAACTATTAGGCACTTTGTTTTTCTTTGGATTCTTGATTAAATTTACATACTTTAACTGTGCAGTAACCCAAAACTGTTAGAATATGAAACAGAGAGAAACAGATGAGGAACAGCATTTCTCTCTCTGTAGGTTGACTGTACCTATGCAAAATATGACTGCAGAGCTACTCATTAGCCTACACACTCCTCCCACAGTGAGGAAAACACCCATTTGTTTAGCAAATGTGGAAATGACAAAAAGTAAAATGGTGACTTCAACTGTGACTACTGATTGAGACTTATCAACCTCAAATCTCACCAGGGACATTCAGAGCTATGAAAATGAGTCAGGATGTAAGGATCTGTTGACCGAGTATGAAGTTTCTGTTTTGGATCTCTCAGGTGGGATTTGTCAACCAAAACTTTAGACTCAATAGGTGTGTCTGTGGAAACTGTTCCTGTTTATTTAGACTTGGACTTACCAAGGATGCAAAAAGAGAAACCCGAGCAACAGTTTGTGATTATGCATGTTCATTTCTTATCTTCTTTACATCATTTATCTCAGTACTTTTAATATGTAATAATTCTCAACATTATAAAAAAATAAGTGATTCACTGTCAGTGATGAGTAAACACCCTGGTCTTCTCATACTGCATTCTTTGTTTTGGAAAACCCTATTTTGTCAGGCAGACAAATTGTGTCAGATGTGTCAGGAAACAAAAAAGTATCAGAGGGCATATTGAGAAAGACCTACTCTATAATCTGCTGTGTCACCCATGAAAAAAGCCACTACCCTGTGTATAGTTGTCTCTCACTCTCACAGCATAAATAGAGAACATTTTTGTTTCACAGCTCTATAGCTGCATATATTTTTAAATTCTAATGAAGTGACTGCAACAAACTTTGCAATATGCTAAAAACAAATATCTTTACAGAAGTTAGCAGGACTGTAAAACAGACACTATGCAAAACATTTTTGAGAATACCTGACTTTTTTGTGTTTTGGAACACCCAATGCATAGTGGACATGTACATTTACTCAGCAATATGTTATTAGCTGAAATTTTCATAAGATTCCCAGTCTATCAAAAACAATATATATTTTTTCCATGTACCTCTCACTCTGGAAAATAGCCTCATCTGGTCCATGTGAAGTGCTGTCAGGAGAAACTCTCTCTGCTGTCATCAGAAGGTTGTTAGGTGCAATAGTTTGGTACTGTTCAGGTGAGGTGCTCATATTTTGGGTTGGACCACTGCAGTGAGATGATGTAGTTTCACATGTCTCTGCATCTGGTGAAATGAGAAAAAGTAACCAGTAAATAGTTTTTCACTGCCAAGTATCATAAATACTGTATGTGATGTTTGGTGTATCCAGGATTACAGAATATTGTGGTATTAGCTGGTGTACATTTCCCAGAATGCATTTTTTCAACAGCAGAAAACTGAAATTTCCCTCAGGATCAATAAACTACCTGTGTAAAACATTAGCTCAGTGTGAGCTGTGTGCAAATGGAAAACATTAGCTTTAATATTTTATGTAGCCAAAAAACAAATGTTTAACATTTTTTCTCCATGCAGCCTATATTGAAATTAAATAAGCTGTAATTAGCATACTCAAAAGTATATTAACTGACTTACCCACATGTCACTTTTGGCTTTTCCCATTTTAGGGGTCGCCACAGCAAATCGTCACACTGACGACTCGCATGTTGACATTTGGCACATGTTTTACGCCGGATGCCCTTCCTGACGCAACCCTGATTCGAATCTGGGCTGCAGCGGCGAGAGCGCTGCGCCTTAACCACTAGCCTACCAGGGACGGCTTTTAACTGACTTACCCAGTTAATAAAATTCATATGACAGCATGTGATCCTACAAGTGTCATAGCTGACTACTATAAACACTATTATGTAATGCATTTTTGCCTTACCAAGTACATACTTTTACAAAGCAGTTATGGAGTTCTGGTTTACCAGAAATTAAAAAAAAAATGATATTCATATGATATTTTGTAGAGTTTGACCCAAGTCTTCTCTCTAAACAAACAGCATACCAAGTGAGTCAGAAGGGGGAGATCTTACTGTTTTTCTCTGGTTCTGGGCATCTTATGCTAACAGCCTGTGAGTGGGCGCTCAAAGGCACTGCTGCCTCTTCCTGAAAAAGACACATACAGACATAAGACAAATATTCAAAAAAGGAAAGGGGTAAAAAGATCAGATAAGCAAATGCAGTAGCCATGTATCAAACTGCAGGCCCAAAATCAGTCAAAAGAAATCTTGGTCAGATGAGATGGCAGTACATAAAACAACCAACAAAATTTTACAGCTGACTGACAACACAAAGCATCTGCCCCATCAGTAATATGCTGTTGGAATTACTGTCATCCTTATACAAATTCATAAGCAAACCATCACTTTCATACTGAATGCATAATTAGTATTTAGCAAAATTTGTTTTAGATACCTTGCTGACATGAAATTAAGTTCAGTCCTCGAGTGTCACTGCCCTGCGTGTTTTCTGACTACCCCTGCCTTACCCGCTGCTGATTACCTGAACCAGGCATGCTGAGTCAATCATTAGCTGGATGATACCAATTCACTTTTGTCTTTCCTCACTCCACCTTCATCTAAGATAGTATCTTCCAACTTCTGACTTGACTGAACACACCTGGTCCCAGTAATAAGCAGTGGGTAGGGCAGGGATAGTTGGAAAACAAGCAGGGCATTAGCTCTCGAGGACTGGACTTGCCAACCCCTGTCTTAAAGTTTCATCACTGTAATTCTATTTAAGGAAGACTGTTGCAGACTGCTGCCTGGGAGCAGAGGTTGTGAATATGTGAAGAGCTATTTGGTAGGCAAATTACAGAAGAAGAAAAACAGAGTGTAGAGACTCAAGGAAGAGAGTGAGAGAAAGGCAGTATTGTGTGTGTAATGACATGCACTACATTTGACATTAAAATTATATTAAAACAGAAAAAGACAAACTACAGATACTGTATATTAACAACTGCAAGAAAAGCTCAGTAATCCTCATTACATACAGTATTTCTGAAGTCACTGCACTAAGGTACAAGCACATGTGAGCCATCACACATTCATTTGGGTGTGTGGTTGCTAGAGACTGAAAGATGCTTAAAAGTCAGTTGGGTTGTATTTTTAAAAACTTGTTTCAAGGAAATAACTACTCCTCTTGAGCCTGATGTAAAGTTACACAGTTATACAACTTGTATTAGCTACATCTATCTGGGAAGGAAGCTCACAATGTTAAAGATGAACTCTGAATTTATTCTAAAATGCAACAATTTGTAATTAAAAGAAATAAGGTTTTCTGAAGTATACTAGTCAATGTTTTAAGAAATGCAGAATGTTATATTAATGACATGCAAATTCCAAGATTTCAATAATTCATCACTGAACTACTTGAAGTCATCATTTGTGCCATTATCAGAAACTATGTAGTAAAATATTATGGAAAATACAGAAAGGACAGTACTCCAAGGTGACATTCAGGCCAAATTCCAAACCTGGTGACCATGCTATACTACACATACATCTAAATACATGACAAGATAATTTCACAATTTAATTTACCTGCAAAGGTTGACAGTTCACCTGTGGCTTTGACTCAGTGTGGGCTGCATAGTCTGTGTGGCAGACAGAGAGGAAGAAGAGAGTAAGAAAATATAAATCAGGGGAAAATGAAAGTAGGAAAGAGAAAGAAGCAAAATAAAGAAGCTGTTAAAACCTAAACCCTTGTCTAATTGATCTACAAAGGTTAACTGTGTCCAAAAAAGCAACCCCACCTTTTACCCTACAAGGCTGGACTGTCTATTATGCAAGGCATTGGGCTGAGGGAGGGGCAGAGGGGTTAAAATACCATGCATGGCTAAAATGGAATTAAGAACCACATTCTCACTCAATTTTTTGTCTCTGCCCGTCAGGCACTTATGCAGGCAGATGAAAAGGGGATAACTGAGCTCACTTCATAGCCTCAAACTGGTCTTATTCCTGGCCATAGAAGGACCTCAAGAAAGAGAAAAGTTCATATACAGTTTCCACAACCACAACCTTTTGAAGCCCAGGGCCACAACAGCTATAGAAGGAAGGGCTCTATTACCAAGGCCCTCAGATTGTGTGTATGCTTAACAGTGAGTGACTTTGTGTACTGTACTGGTGCTTCAAAAGGTGGCTCAGTGACCATGTGATCCTCATGGATTACAGGAGAATAATCCACTCTCCGTCTCATTCATATACACAACTCAGACAGTGATGAAGTCAGTAAGGCCTTATTCACAAGTTGAGTTTATCCTGTCAAAAACTATGTCAGACAGTGAAATGTGCAGCCTGATGCACCAGCTGGACATGTGTGCGATGTCACAACAATGTTTAAATAGTTGGTTTTTACTAAAAACTGTTTTTTGACTTCACAATCCAACAACTGCAAACAGTGCTGTTTAATGTAGCCAATGTACATTTTCTCTTGTCCCTTTTATAAGTAGTCTTATTTAAAAGCATCAGTAGTTATTTAAGCAATAACAAATGCATACTTAATCTAAAATGGTTGTTTAACTGTTACATCTACTGCAACAGCCACACATGTGCTCAAGTAGATGTACTATAGATAATATCCATCCATCCATCCATAATCTATACTGCTTAGCCTGAAGAGGGTTGCAGGGTAGGGGGCTGGAGCCAATCCTATGTGACACTGGGCAAGTAGTGGGGTACATCTGAACAGGTTGCCAGTTTATCACAGGCCTAACACTTAGAGATAGACAATCACACACACCCACATTCACTCCTACGGGCAATTTAGAGTCACGGACCAACCTAAGCTGCATGTCTTTGGACTGTGGGAGGAAGCCAGAGTACCCAGAGAGAACCCACAAAGGCTACAGAAAATATATAAAGTATATATAGTCACAAAAAAATTACTTTGAAAATAGCTAGCAAAAGTCCCTCAGCACAAAAAAGGTGCAGTTAAAATTGTTGGTTCTAACGTGTGGGAAGTGTGTTTATGTATTTACATTCAATGGTTTTATTATTTACTTGAGAGGTACAGGATGCATCAGCCTACACTGTTGTTGCATAAGGTAAATTCAAGGCTTATTTTTACTGTTTACCCAGAGCTAGGAACAGGGTAAAAACAAGGGTCACGATGGGGCTAGAAAATTAAAAAAAAACAACAACTATATTTAGCCCTGTTTGGCTTAGCTTTAAGAGATTCCACTTAGCTCTGGGCTCATTCTGCTGTATACTGGATATTAAAGACTTAAGGAAGACTCCCAAAGTTATGAGCTTTTCCTGAGATACAGTCTTCTTCTTTCAGCTGTTCCCATTAGGGGTCGCCACAACGAATCATCTGTTTCCACCTAACTCTATCCTCGGCATCCTCTACTCTCACACCAATTAACTTCATGTCCTTTTTTAGCACATCCATATATCTCCTCTTTGGCCTTCCTCTTGACCTCTTGCCTGGCAGCTCCATCTCCAACATC